AGAAGGAACCTGTAATTGCTAAGCATTTTCATAGCCATATTTCTACAACCTCCTACCCTGATGCATAGCAACAGTAATGGACAGTCCTATTTTATTGTGCTTCTGTGCACATCAGTGTCCTACTGCACACAAGCATGCTTTTTATATTTTTGTATGTTTCTGCTGATATGAATGAAGTTCTTGAAAATGTTGATAATGTGTAGCAACAACATTGGATCCCTTATTTGCAAGTAAATTCTAAACCTCTGCTTCCCAGTCCCTTTTGTATATTTCAGACTCAGTTTTTTCTTAGTAATAAATGCTTAATAACTATATCAAATGTTTCTCTGTTTTGAAGGATGCTCTGGTAAATCTAAGCTGAAAATGTTAGAAAAACATTATGTTGTATACCAGGAAAAGATTGTGTTGCCAAAGCAGATGAAACAGATGGCAGTGTACATACTAGAGGAAACAAGGAAGGAATAAGTCTTTGTATTTTCCGTTCAGTTTCATGATAGTTATGTGGCCAACCATAAGGTTCCAAGTTACTGCAGAAAAAGAAAAATTCAACTATAAGATGAAGCTGTTTGCTGTGCACTGTGACAGAGAAGTGCCATGATAATGTAGTGGCTGGGACATTTGTCTGAGTTCTAGTCTTTGATGTATGGAACATGTTGGTATTTTACAAAAACTGGAAATGGATAAAACACCGAAATAGTTGTTAAGGCTAGGAACTGAAACTCAGTTTCTTAATCTCAGATAATAATAACTGGGTTGAAGAATAATGCTCCCTCAAGATTCCTGGGTTTGTCCTGTGAATCTTTAGCACTTCAAGTGTATAATCATACCAGTCTCTAACATCAGGCCACATTTAATTTAAACATCAAAGAACGTGAAACATAAGAATAATCCTGTTAATTTGACAGAGAAGGAAGTTTACTTCTTCTCGGGAGCCACCAGCTATCAGACTTCTTCACTGTTCCAGCCATTAGGGAGCACAGACATTTCTTTCAGCACAGCTATAGATTGCCAGAATAAAATTTCCTCCTTTACATATACTTTTAGGCCTTTTTAAAATATATATTTTAACTATGTGAAAAGTGTTAAATTTGTTCTTTTTTTTTTTTTCTTTGAAACCGATGAGAAGGAAGCTGGCTTGTGACATCAGCTTTGCATCTTAGTGGTAGCTCCACAGTCACCCTCCAGATACGTTGTGTTGCACGTGTCGACTGGAGGTTTGCAAATCTGATCACAGAAGAGATCCGCAGGGTTTGCAGAACCCCCGTGACAAAACATAGCCACGTGTCACCGTGCTCATTTGGTCGAGCTGCCTAGAGGTTGCTTGCAGGCTGTCTGTAGCTGTGTGGCATCTGTGTAGGCTGCGGCTCATGAGGGAGCGTGCCAGGACAGTATGCCCCTCAGGACTGCTTTGTATCAGCAGCGTAGCCCTAGCTGTGCCCTAGCAGGCATTTCTGTGGTTACCTGCTTATAGTTCAGTTTGCTCAGTACTATTCCCATCCTAGGATGTCAAAATATAATGAGTATATATGGATGAAATAGTTCTGCCTTGGAATTAGATGGTTTATCCTCTGCATGCTGTAGAAAAACTCCGTAGCTGGTATTTGCAAAATACCTAAACAAAAAAAGCCCTCAAGTTTTTTTGAACATTTACCCTGGCTACAATATCGAACACAAATTTGGTGGGTGTACAAAATCACTGGTTGGTTAGTTATTGACAGCACTGTTCTTCATGGTCACCCTCTAACACCCAAAGTAGAATTTGTATGGGTGCACACTTGAAAAAGAAAAAAGGACTTGGTTTGTTGAACTGTGTTGCTTTAAACTGCCACATGCGTGGATCCTGTGATCCAACCCATATTTTTGCGCTTTCTCACTCATTGTGAAATCTGATTCTGCAGTAGTTACAGAACTGAAATACAGTTATAACTGTGTGTGTTTATTGTCTCCTGCTGCTGGTGGTGAGTTTGTCTGAAGATGGGCCAAGTGTGGCAATAGTATTATGAACACAGGTATTTTAAAGTTATGTGTTCAGGTATGTTAAAAAACCTGGTGTAATACGTAGCCATCATTGAAGGCAGTTTAAGACAAACTGTTTTATATCACGTTTGCAGGGGTTTAAAGCCCGTACTTAGCTGATTCAATAACTTAGCTGATGGGTGGTAATTCATTAAATTACCTCAGTTTCCCTGTGGTTGGTGGTGTGCCAGCCCTGAGATTTTTATCAGGTACATTAAACATTTACCGTTGGAGTGGGATCTATGCCAATAAATTTTTGAAGAATCAAAATTATTTTAGGTAAGTCCCTGCTCTTTCTTTTGCTAGAAATGCTTTGGATTTTCACACTAATGGTTCTTCACAGCTGGACATTGCATATATATTGATACACACATATGTCAGATGGAGTTTATTTGTACATAATTCAGTGGATTATCTTGCCAATTGTTAGGTTATTTGATCATTCTTAAAGGTGGAAATCTCTTTAAATACAGTGACAACTTGCCAACTGCCCTTTCACTGGGAGGTTTTACTTACCTTCTCCTGTTTCAGTGACAAAAGACTTTCTTAGCATGCCCAAAAAGTTCCCCAAAATTTTATGCCCCAAATTACCCAATATTCATATATCTTAAATCATTAAATATTAGACTTAAAGCTTTGGTCCTGCACAATAGAAGCATATGTTTTGCAATATAGGGAGACAAAACCAACAGGAAATATTTGTCTCAGTTCAGAATAAATTGCACAGTTGCATCCAGGAACTCAGTTTTCAGTTACTTTTTGTCATAAATATAGTGAGATATGTCTATGTAAAGACTTCAATATGTTTAAGGTAGCCATTTCTCAAAGAAGATGAGAATGGCAGTGTGCTCCTTCTAGTTTTACTTCTTTTTTTGTAGTACTGTACAGAATAATAAATAACAGAAGTTAAAATTGTTTCTTGTTGCAGCCTTTATCCTCATCTCTACTCAAGAGCATACATTAACTTTAGAAATCCTGAGGACATCCTTCTTTTTAGAGATCGCTTTGATGGCTATGTCTTCATTGATAATAAAGGTTGGACTATTTGTAATAAGTGTGCATATATACATATACCATTTTAGAACATTAATTCACTTTTTTTGCTATTTATGCCAGTTTTTTTCCTCAATGTATGGTTAATTACATAAAAATACATGAAAATCTAGCACTTAAAAGGTAACGAAGTGCAAAATACATTTGTCCATGTAGTCTTGCTTGTCTGTGGTATGCATGCTTTATTTGTATTCTTGTACCTTAAGCAGTACACTATCAAGATCCTATTAAGATAAATACCTTATGCAAGCTTCAAAATTCATCACAACAGTAATTGAACACATTGCAAGCATGAATCATTACATCTTCAGTGCGTTTCTGTGAGATAAAGTTGTTCCACTTATTCCCATTTTGAAAAAGCAAGACAAAAACTTGACTTCATCTTTGTGGTTGCCCACTTTTTGATATGTACAGCTTGACTTTTTAGAGCATTTGAATACATCTTGAGTTGAGTTCCAAGGAGGAAGAGTGACAGAATTGGTTGCCATCTTTAAAATGTTCAGTCTGCAAAAGTTTGCCCAACAGTAAACTCTGTAATGTAGGTGTGTAGTGTGAAAGTAGCATGAACAGCCATAGCCAAGAAATGGTGCTTTTCCTTTAACAGTTCCTTGCCTCAGTCACTCATACCGTCTGTAAAAAATTGCATGGGTTTTATAAAACAGACATGGATTTGTGGATTTCTTGTATAGACATTGTCTATTCTGTACACTCAGTGTTGTGGAGGTCCAATGAAAAGTAGTCCTGTCCACTCTTACTGGAGAGTTGATCTCTGAAGAAGCTGTCTGTCTAACAAATTCCTCTTCAGCATTTCCCACCTGAGGTATTTTGTTGGCTTCTAACGTTATCAGATTTGGATGGATTTTCCTAGAGATGGAGAACAACACATTCCTTACGTTGTGTGATTCCCAGATTTCAAATTTTGGCTGTTTAAGATGAAAAAATGGAAAGAAACTGTTTTTATGATTCTGCCAAGACTTCACTTTGCCTAAATTAGGAATATTCTTCAGTGTTATGCTGGACTGAAGCCAGAATATTCTGTACATTGCAAAACTGAGCTTGGACCCAGCTGGCCAGTTTGACGTGTTTGTGCAAATAGCACAGGTTTTAATCACAGGTGCCCTCTGGTGAGGCTTGTGGCAGCATTGCATTTATGAGGCTAAAATTAAAACAAGCATTACCAGATTCAGTTAAGGTTAACAAATTTTGTAGCAATTCAAGCCAAGTTTTCAGTAGACTTGAGCAAAGCGTAATCTTGAACCTGCTGTAAGTGGAAATCAGGCAAAATTCAAAAGCAGTTCTGACTCCAGTCTTCAAGGCAGAATTCAAACCAAAGAATCCATGCCAGTAAACACAGGCAAAAACTTGGGTAGTCCATCATAAACAGAAAATCAGAAGTTTCGCACAATTCTGTGTGCTGAGTTTTACAGTTTTGGTTCTGAAAGTAGGCGGTATATTTTATTATTGCAGATTACCTAGCATTTATTTATTTTTTAAGCTTTCTGGCAACAAAACTTTACAGAAGGAACTTAATTGTTTCAGATTCAGTTCCCAGTAGTTCTTACCAGGCCGTGATTTTATGTAAATTTTTCTAATCAATGAATATCTATGAAGAATTAAAAGTGAATTATAAATGACAATGCAAGAATTTTACTGTGCAACAGTAGTCATGTTCATTTTGACAATCTTTGTTAGCATGTCCAAAAAATACCTAATGTTTATGTATATAATTAAAATATAAATGTATTTTGGTTTGAATCAAAAATATTGCTACATGTAATTTTCCATTAGAAGTTTAGGATGGGATTGTAGAAACATTCACCTTGGATCTCGAGTAAGACTGCTCAACACAAGTTTCAAGAGTTTTGAAAACCTTACTTGAGTATAGGGATTATTTCTCCCCCTCAGAAAATTAAGCATTGATCTCTTTTAAGGTTTGGAGTATCCTGCAGTGGTTGAATTTGCTCCATTCCAGAAGATTTCAAAAAAGAAGCTGAAGAAGAAAGATGCCAAAGCTGGGAGCATTGAAGACGGTAAACGTATTTTCTTGGTGTCACAGTGGAAAATCTGTCATGCATTGCAAAGTATTAACATAATTCAAACATTTTTCTTCACAGATCCAGAATATAGGAAATTTTTAGAGAGTTATTGTGCTGATGAAGAGAAAATCTGTGCCAATCCTGAGATTCTTTTGGGAGAGATTGAGGCCAAAACAAGGGAACTCATTGGTCTGTTTTCTTGATTTTTCTTATTACTGAGAATATTAAATATTTTTATATCTTTATGATATTACCTGCAAGAGGTGTCCTGTTCAGTCTAACAGATTGAGAATATTGCAGTTAAATTTTTGTTATCCAGCCAAGTAGTGGCAGGAAACACCCCACCGATTCTTTTAAGTCTCTATACATGGAATCACTTGACTTCACTGGAAGTTTTGCATGCACAGTGGCTTCAGAAATAGGTCCTTGATACTTCTGCATACTTACAGGTTTATTAAAAGATGGAAGATTTATTTTTAAAAGAGAGAATAGCTGAATACTTAATAATCGATCCCTGATATTAGCTGCTTTTATTGAGAAGCATGAAATGATCTTTGTTCTCACTGTCAGAGTCTTGGGGGGAATCTTTAGTGAGATCAACACTGAAATCTCCAATGCCAGTATGGAGCTTTCAGGTTGACATGGAATATTGATGTGCTGTATCTCCAGGTGACAACATGTAGAACACTTACTGTTTCCCTAGGTGTGACAGTCAAGTAGGGGGAAAAAATCGTTCTTTGCTATTATTTCTTTACAGTGTAAGAGTAGCCACCTCTTTTTATTAAAATCATATAATAGAATCATAGAATCGTTTAGATTAGAAAAAACTTAAGATCATCGAGTCCAGCTGTAAGCCTGAACTTCGAAGTCCACCACTAAACCATGTCCCTAAGTGCCACATTTACACATCTTTTAAATACCTACAGGGATGGTGACTCCTGTTCCAGTGCCTGACAACCCTTTCAGTGAAGAAATTTTTCCTAATATTCAATCTAAACCTCGCCTGGTGCGACTTGAGGCCGTTTCCTCTTGTCTTATCTCTTGTTACGGATGTTTGAGAGTTGACTGGAGAGATTTGGAACTTAGACAATTTAGAGGAAATTGAAATGTTAGAAGTATGGACATTTAGATAATTCTGTTATTAATAAAACTTGTTTGCTGCTCTTCTAGATAGGGAAGTTCCCCAACAAATTTTATTTACCCCAAACCTTCTCTAGTATTTGGCAGTAAAGTAAAAGCAGTCAAAATTTTCTAAGAAGTTTGCAATTTTAAGAAAGATTATTAAATTAAAAATACCAATGAAAATGATTAGTCTTGAGAGTTGCAGATTTCTGAGTAACAATATTGACTGAAGGCAGCTTTAAGGGTTTTAATGTTTTGTTTCTGTTTAATCACAGGAAATCAAATTAGTTGCTTTATTTTTTTTGCTATTTAAAGCTGCGGCTGTTGCTATCAGTATTAAAACAAACATTACTTCAGTGAATAGCATGTTTATAGAAAAATTATATAAGGGTTTAGTTGTATGTCCCGTTTCAAAGGTGTTATTCCTACTGAAGTCAATACAAAACATGCCCAGGACTTTGTTGGCAGAATTAGGCTTCACATTTTCAGCATTTCTCCAGGTAGTGTTACCACAAACCAACATGTTTTATGTATCACATCAGATGCGTTAACTCATCAGTTTCAGTATGAGAGATAAAACAGATCTTCTCTGTAACAAGCTGAAGATAAGCTCATTCTTCTGGCTTGTTTGTAGAGAGCAAGATAAAATATAGAACTGCTGACACAGGTCTTCATTTTGTAATTTATTTTCTTCTAAAATTTCTTAAACATTTTTAGAAAAACCTCTTAGATTTGTATTTGCAGTAAGGCCCGTAAATAAGATGGGTAAGATTCAGGTTTGCTAAACATTATTTTTTCCCTCCTCTTTTGATAGTACTCATCACATTGCCTCTCTCCCTTGAACTTAAAGTTAGGATTTCTGATTAAACTCTTGCACCACACCCTCAGTGGTGACTAGGGTCAAGTTCTGGACTCCGAATGCAGTTTATCCTCTCCCCAAACCCTCCACTTAAAATCTGCTATCATTTTCAGCATGTAAAAGTGCCCAGAGGCAGACACTGCTCAGACAGGGGAATTACAGGAGCAGGAGAGAGAGAGGCACAGCTGCAGATCTGAGGGACTGGTAGGGAGGGTGCTGGGGACCTAAAATTTCTCAAAAATTATGGGCAGGTGGGAGAGAGGGGTGGGCAGCATGTGAAATCTAAGGATAGAGGGAGGAAGATTTCAAATCTTTTTTGGGTGTTGCTTTTGACCATTGATCTTTGCCAAAAATAAATACTGAATCCTATCAAACCTTCTCATTCATAACCATGTAACAAGGTTTTATCATTAACGAATGGGTTGCCCCTAGGATATTCACACTTTCAAGACAAAAACATTCAAATGTTTTTTGGATATGAGTTGTGTATAGATTTTGGCTATTCCATTTCACATTTGATGAAAATTTTTTTTATTTCTTCCTTTTCTTTTTTTCTTTTATTTTTTCTTCCAAATCCTGTCATGCATTCTAATAGTGAAATTTTCTTCTGGTTTGAGAAAGAATACCATACATAACTGTAGAGCAATTTCTAATAGTAACCATTTTTTGTAACTCTATCCTGGGACATCTAAGACTGGCAAAATTTGTTGTAACTACTCACACCTGTAAGTACATGAATTCAAGGTTGAATTAAGTATTCACAGTCATGAATGCTATACATTAGACAGAATTCGATTATGTTCTCCAAGTTTTGTATAATTTCGGGATGGTTCAGGCAGGTGGCTTAGGCTAGACTTCAGAGTATGGAGACAGCTCTGTAACGTAAGAATGTCTGTGTGATCTAGTAGATGAGGCATTTTATTTGTTACTTGGGAATCCAGAGTTCTGTTGAATCTGCTGATACTTTGCTATGTCACCCAAAACAAACCACCTGTCTCTTACTCATCCCATTTTCCCATGGAGAGGTGAATGCTAAATGATTGCTAAATGGAAATACTATACGAGAATTAAAAGTGTTTCCTTCATGATGTACTTAGAAATCTGGGATTGAAAAGTGCTATGTGAGATTACAGTATGTGGGCTGTATATGAACAGCTAGGTTTTGATGTACAAAATTATAGGAATAGATTGTGAACACATTTCTTTCCTTTTTGGTGAAATAACTGATGAGCAAGAGAAAAAAGACATTCTCTTGAATGGAAAAGATATGATTCTTAATTAAATTATCATGCAACATATCTCTGTTGCTTCTAACTCTAACAGCAAAAAAGCAACAAAATGTTTCTGAAGGAAATTGATGGGAATACCTTCAAAAATATATTAACCAAACGTTTATTAATTACTTAGTTCCCTTGCAGATAAAGCTAGAAAAAAGGGGTTAGTACTGAAGTAAAGAAATGAGTACATATTTTAGGAGTTGAACACTACATCACAAATTTTTTGTGTTTTAGCTAGAAGAACAACACCCCTTTTGGAATATATTAAAAATAGAAAATTAGAAAAGCAGGTACGTTCAGACTTTTGCCTGAAGTTCAACATTTATGTTTCACATGGGTTTTTGGTGGACAATTTACGATTAATTATTTTGACCTCCTCAGAGAATACGAGAAGAGAAAAGAGAAGAACGAAGGCGGAGAGAATTGGAGAAGAAACGTCTGCGGGAGGAAGAGAAAAGGAAGCGCAGAGAAGAAGAAAGACGTAAAAGAAAAGAAGTGGAAAAGCAAAAGAAAATTTCTGAAAAAGAAATAAGGATCAAGGTACCTTAAGGGAAAAAGATTATTATTCTCTTAGAGTTATCCAGAAGTTCCTTTGATATCTCACTGTTTATTTAGTGTACTACAGTACAGTCTGGAGATACCAAACCGTTTTTGACGGAAAGGAAGAATAATTTAGGGTTTTGACTAAGTAGCGTCGTTTGAAAGTATGACTCATTGCTTTAGGTACAACGATGTGCTGATGCAGTTAAAGCAGGTAACTCAGATATCTTTATACAATACTGCCACATTCTATGCCATCATAACCTGACAGAACCAAATTGTTCTGTGCCAGCGTATCAGAATATTATTGCAAATACGTCTTTAACACTCTCTGTCATGTAAGTCTTCATCTAGCCATATGTGTGGAGAGTTTTTTGTGTATATTCTCAGAACTGATGTATTCTACCAAGTTATAACAAAGTCTTGCTAATTTCAGACTGCACTGCCTTATAACAATCAGAATGGATGTGCTTTTAATGACTTAGGTGGGTGTATTTTGTGTGATTAAGTCTGGACATTTAAAACTTTATTTGTATAAGATGACATAGATAAAAAACTATTAATCTGATCTAAATTTTGTGGTATTGGAAAGGCTTTATAGGCTGTTTTGAAGAGGAAAATTGGTATGAGCCTGTAGCTTAACACAAGGACACACAGACTCACTCCAGATCTTGTGGTGGGGAAAAGCCACAGACCTTTTCTCTTCCTGGACAACAGTTTCTTTCACCTGAATGTATAAAAATAGTAAGTTCTGAAGCCAAATTACAGATTTTTCATATCTGGGCATAAAAATAACCACCAATCCAGAAGTTCAAAAGAAAGGGACTGTAAAATGTATTACCCAAAATTGGTTATCCGAAACCTCCCAGTATTTATGACATATTTGTGGTGATGTTGCCTTGAAAGTTAGTTCTGTCTCCAAACAAAAGGAAAATACTACCTGAGGGAAACGTTACAGAAGTTTTAAATATTGGAAAAGAGTAACCTGTGCTCATTTCAGAAAAACTGGTGGATTAAAAAGGACTGATAAAGTGTTCTGCTTATTCCTGAAATGTTAGAGAAATAGTTTGAGACAGTTGGTCTTTCTATAAAGGTAATTCCTGTAACACTAGACACTGCTCAAGCCCTGTGTGGGTTATTTGTTGTGAAAGTAACAGTCATCTTGGAAATCTCTAAGGTGAAAATGTGATGCGATCTTTTCTGCTAATACAATTTTTTTTTCCTCAGGTTGCATTTCTGTCAGGGTGTATTTATACTAAGCACGTACTTCTATATGCCAGTCTATCCCAACTAGTTCATGAGGCACACATTTTATATATAATATTTCCAGGAGTGAAGTATTAATCTTGCTGTCTTTGTAGCATTGTAGAGGTTCTACTTCTTACTTTATTGGCAATACTATTGAGCTGTGTTATATGATTTCTGAGAAATCATAGACCATGATAATGTCTTTACATACAAAACTCAGAAGAGTAGGTAAGTGCTTTTATCTTTAAAAGTGTGCAGTTAAATGCCTGTGAATGACTCTCACTCCTTAGCAAAAGTAAACTACCCTTCTAAAATAACTTTAAATGTCTTACTTTGTAAATGCATTCCTAGCATTTAAATAAGGTATTTTCAGTCTCAATAGGTTACTGATATATTTAATACATTGTTAAAATATCTGTTACAACAGAGAAGAATAATTTTACGTCATTATGTAAACAAATATCTCTTAGCTTCTCAAGAAGCCTGAAAAAGGAGATGAACTGTCCAGTGAAAAGCACAAAGAAAAAGGTGAAGAAGCTGACATGGAGGAAAACAAATGGGATAAATCCCCTGGATCTGGGAGCATAAAATCCAAATCTTTGGAGGCTTCACTAAAAGAACTTAAAGAAAAGTAAGTAATATTTATCTTTTAGGCTTCAATTTAGATCCTAAATGCTTTCATCTGAAAGCTTAAACATGTGGTGCATTGACTGTGTGTTTTGTCAGCAAAGAATTTATTCCATTCTGTGAACAAATCTCTCACTGTCCTTTTTGTAAAAGGTGTTTAGTAACAGTTTACTGACCTGATGGCAGTATTAGGGGATGCAATTTGGTTTTTGTGAAATGTTTTGAGATACCAGATTGGAAGGATTTCTGCGTGAAAAGTTGTTCAGAGTTTCATTGTTATTTCACCTGTTCCCCATCAAGAGCTGAGGTAAGGCCCTCCTTCTGCTACTGATGTCAAAGACTAAATTGGTTAGGATGCCTTGCTTTTCCTTCACACTTGGTTTTTCTGCCATAAATGTATAAATGTGTTTGATAAATGGCAGAATAGTTGAGGTATGAATGATGGCCTTATGACAGATACATGCAGAAGGCTCTCTCTGTCTCCCACTGCCTTTTTTGTTACATATGTAGTAGTAGGAACAAGAGTTACAGCTCAGTTGTACTACTACTGTAGCCTGGAAATGTCTTACAGATATTTTCAGCAGTTGGTTCTCTCTCTTGTCCTTTGGCATGTATGTCCCATCGCAAGCAGGATTCACCCATAAGATATGTATGATACATAACTATGAATAATATGCTGCTGACATAAACAATACTTCGTTCTTCAGTAGAGTTTTTCTGCTAAGCTCTTAGAAGTACTTTGTAGTACATAAGGACAATCTTGAGCATTTAAATAAGTTATCTAAGGCATTATATATAAAGTATTAGAGGAGGTTTGGATTGTGCTCTAGGAGCCTTGCAGGCTACCTGCCTTTTCTGAGTAGTTTAAATTTTACCTTTGTCCATACAGGTTCTTGATTTTTATGAAATGTATGCAAGAGCTGCAAATGTTCTCATAATGGCAAATAGAAAAATAAAGAAACTTTGAACACTGGAAAATAAACCCACTGAATTTGCTAATTGAAGAAATGGTTCACTAATAATGTCCTACATGGATTATTCGTATTTTTTTGTCTCTAAGGACTTCAAACATGGGCTCAGTGTTTCAGTAAGTTGAGTATGCCCTGAAAGATGCTGAAAACTTCCACTCTCTTCTCTAATGGAAATTGAAAATATTCAGCAACTCTTTTGCTGATGTTCTTCAACAAAGGAAACAGAACAGGGTCAACAGAAACACTTGCAGGGGCAAGTCAGTTATTTCTTAATAAGGCTTTTTATGTGTTAAGCTTTTGGTGGTGCCATATAACATTTTTACTATTGATCCTGTAAGTTTAATAAGGAATTAATGTAGATTTTCCAGGTGTAAACCAGAATCCTTTTGGCTGTGCAGGTACAGTAAGTGTTACCTTGTCTTTCCAAGTGCTCACTTCATCATGATTATTACTGGGTGGGATTAGGTAGCAAGCTATGAGCTATTTCAGCTGGATCGAGAATGAAAGTTGAAACTACTTTGACTCAGAAATCAGTAATAAACTAACTTCCAACTCTACATGCAGGAGACTGAATTGCCTGTTTGAAACCATGTTTTAAGGCTCAGTAGCAATAGCTTTCTACCACAAATTAAAACCTCAGCAGGTGCATGAGTGTACATGCTCACATAAGGATTTGAAACTACACCGAACAGAAGTATGCTTCCATTCCCTTTACTTCCATTCATTTCTGCTCTCTCTTTCTCTGGCTGTGTAACTTTCTCTTCTACCTACACTTGCTTACTCCATTTTCATTCTTCCCTGCCCGCTTGCTGTGACTGAATTTTAGAAAGCTACTTTACCCACTCTTGACTGGAGTTTGTATCCCTGTCACCTGCCTACCTCCACGTCCATTCCTTCCCCTCCCACAGGCAGGGGAAGAGACAGGTACCAGGCAACGCAACGGCAACAAACTGAGATGTGACTCTCTGGCTTTTTGGAAGGTCATGCTCTGACCCTTGCTAGGGCTTGGAGTGAGTGTCTAGAATAGTATATATTAAGCATGAAACAAAACGACTTATAGCCACATACCCCTTAAGTGTTAACATAGGATTTTATATATAGCTCTCCATGCTACAGGTACAGTATCTCTGTAATTGAGATTGATTCATGTGTCTGTGACAGCTGGGACGTTGCTTCCTCTTGGTGAATGTGTTATGCTGACACACGTACAGTCTTATCAAATGCTGAATAACTTACCTGTCATTCAGGTTTTGTTGTTGACCTCCAGCTCTTTGCAAGATGAGGCCTCTGTCTAGGCAGCCCCACTGATGCCCAAGTTCATGGCAGAGGCTGACAATTTTCACAGTTTTGTTATTTTTTTAAAAAAAGTGATATATAAAGATACACTTCTATTGATATTAAACCATTCCAAATGAGAAGCATATTTGATCACTACACCATTAGTAGATCTTCATCCTCTCTGATTCTGTCTGCTAATTTCCAAAATGTGAGCAGAATGTCAAATGCAACTTTGAATTTAAGTATTTATCAGTATGTAATATATAAAAAGAAATGGCCTGTATTTGTTCCTTTTAAAGTTCAATCTACTCTGTAACCTTTCTTTGTTATTTGCAGTTTGACTGTATGAGAAGCACCCACTTGCTGAACAGGAACAATGAAGTGAATAAGAGCTGAGAATTGTATCAGGCAGCAAAATATTGCAAACTAATAGTCTTTATAATATAAACCCACTGCAGTGTAGCAGAAATTAAATATTATGTTATGGTAAGGTAATGTTCTTTCACCTAAATAAAATATGCAAAGGTAGGCTAAATTACTTGATGTAATAAACAAAAGCCTGGAACATAAGTGTTCATTTTCACAAATGCCTTCTGCAAGTTGTGATGCCAGTGAATAATTTTTGTTAGATAGAGCTATAAAACTTTACAAATTGATACACAATACCTGCACAATTCCTTTGGGCCCTGAATGTTCCCATTCAAGGGAATCCTCAGATATATGAGTCACCTCAAGAACAGGCCACAAGAGCTAATCATGCAGCATGTGTTCATGTGAAGAGTATTGGGGAACTATTTGTGAGTTTGCAAAGAGGGATAGAAGTTGAAGAATGGGCTTTCCACAACAGTGGCACAGAAGTCCAATTTTGCTTGCAAAGCTTTGTCTGCTGTTTGAACTGAATGCAGAGACAAGGTCGGGCATACCTGGATGAGATTTGGCAGAATTGCACATAGGGTCTTTTTAATGAGAAAATAACAGTCTTGCCATACAATTTCTCTAAATACTGTTGAAGTCAGAGGAAGGCTTTTTATTGTATCCTTCAGCAGCCTTTTTTTCACTGTTAATTTCTTGGATTTTCTGTCTTTTTATACCTACTCATAGGTCACAAAATGATAGTGACAAAGAGCAAAGAGATTTGGAGAGAAGATTTCGAGAAAAAGAACCTGAAAGACAAAGGTATCGATTGGATGATGGCAGAAAGCATAGAGCTCACTATGAGTTTGACAAGTTTGTGAGAAGGAATGAAGAAGAACTGAAATGGGGGAAAGGATACAACCAAGACAGAGGAAAGAAAGGGAACTACAGCTACAGCTTCACTGTGGAGGCAGTAGACAAACTGGGTAAAGAGGACAAGTGTGATGACATGGCATCCAAAAAGGAGCGCATAAGAAATAAGGTTCTTTTATTCATTTAGGATAATCTTTCATTAGTTAAATATGCTTCAAGGTCACAGGCTTTACTTTTGCAAATTCAGCATAAAGATGCTTTTTCAATAAAAGCCATTCTTTATTTCATTTTCAGTAAAACCCAGACTTCTTTCTGTTGCTATCAGAGAAAAACAGTTAACAGTTAAAATACATTAAGGTTACAGGTCTCTGCTCATTCATATTTACAATACATAGAAGACTTTCTGTCTTCCTTCAACCCTAGCATTTTCAGAATGCTATTCTTGGAAGCCTTGTATTTTATGAGTGTATTACAAATTGTTATACTTCTGATCTGTAATAAAATTTAAAAACTATGGCATGCTAGTCTTTTAAAAATGTACTTCCATTACCCAGCTCATAAAGTAATATTATGGATTGACCAGGCATTCCTCAGTAGAGGAACTATAAGGACTTAAATAAACATTGTATTTATAATAGACGGTGCAAATTCTTCAGTATTGTGTATCTGCCAGCAAGAAAGGGATGTTGTTTGGTTAGGACAAGTTATCCTCATGGTTGTTGTCAGGGAAAGAGCAGGTGCAAAACCAGTGCAAGCGGGGCGGGTAGCAGGGTGTGGAGTAGCGCTGTCCCTTATTGTCTCCCAGAGACGAGGGCATCAAGTTTTCTCAGGCTGTCTGATTTCATGGATGTGATGTGCCAGGGTCTTTCCAGAAGGTGGTTCTCCTTGTCACCCTCATTCTCATTCCCTTCTGATCCTTAGTTTTCCACAAAAGAAACACTGTTTTGTGTAGAAATTTATTCTGCATTTATTCTGCATCTCTTTCAAACCAAGCGACTGATCTGTGATGTGGGCCAAGGCTGACAAGGAGTAAACTGGTCATGTGCAGAGGGAATCTGTACAGAGTGTGTGTAGAGCAAGTCCAGGTGGACTTGCTGTGTGTGTCAAGTAAGTCACCTCGTGCAGACACAGAAAGCCTGGTGTGCCCCACTTCTTGTTTATGCAAAGGTCAGCTGGGCAGTATGGGTGACATTTATCTGCATATACATGCTAGTTAACTTTCCACATATGCCAGTGGCTTAAGCTGTATGTAGAACAGTCAGAAAAATGGCTAGTTCAGAAACAGAAAGATGGGAAAAACTATTTTCCTCATGCTTGTTGCACTGCCATTGAAATCTGCAGTCTTGGAACTGGATGGTGGGTCTTGGGGGCCTTCTGTCAAGCCTTAAGAAGCTGCCTCCTTTTATTTCTTCCCATCACACTTCTGGTGACTCGCTGAGTCTCTGGATTAGTCCACACTTCAAGTGCTAGATTTGTTCCCTAAACAGAATAAGCAAAAGCAGTAAAGTTTTTTGCAGTGTGGTGACTCTTTTCCTTAGAGTATTTATCACATAGATAAGAATTAAGGGCTGAATTTTCCAACTTACCTATAGACTTAATAATGCCAACACAAGTTTTCAGGCAGAGATTGAGCTGCTTTCTAAAGTTTGTAAGAATTAGAAAATGGGAAATTTCCAGTGTAAGCAATAGTTGTACTAGCTTTCATGCAAACTGTGAGATACAGAGTCTGATATGAAAAATTATTTGGACCCTTTACCATAAACTTTCCAATGGGCACTGTTTGTGAAGTAGAAAGATGTGGCATTTCATACCACACTACAAAGCACTAACTAGAACGATCTAGTTGTATGGTCCAATAGTGAATCTTGGTATCTGGTCTAAAGAGATGAAGAAAAAAGTGGAACAAAAAAGACAAAGGTTAAGGAAAAAGAAAGAAAAAAGGGAAAATGCATATTGGGAATAAGAAAAAAGAAAGAACAAAAGACCAAAATTACTTCGAATTATGAAGGTAATTGAAAATTAATACAGTTTGATGTAGGACAATTTCAATGCTCTGACACTTTTAAAATAGGCTGTTTAATTTTGTCTGCTAAACTTAACACAAGACTTCAGTCAAAAAGCTCAGGTTTTGGTGAATAGGTTGCTTCATAACATTACATTACTAATGCAGCAGAGTTTCTAAACAGTATGTTTTATTATTGAAACTTCAAGAATAAAAAGTGCTGTCAGGAGCTATGGAACATCACCATTTGCAAGTTTGAGGTGTCTTTTCCTTGTAAACTGGCTCCTTTTTCCATTTTCCAGTGACCAAATCAGTGTTTGTATGATTGGGTCACTCACAAAGCCTTGTGCATGCTAAAATTGTACTTTGTTTATTATCAGTGAGTGAATTCCCCTGCTCTCATACACAGCATGGAAGGTGTGATGAAATAGAGCAATTTTATTTTTATATGTATAATTCAAATGTGCATTCCATGTTTAAATTGTGGACATGATGGATGATTTAAAGAGCATTGCACACATATAGTTGGTAAAGTTCCACTGAGGATAATTTTCTAGCTGTTAACCTGCTGAACTGTTCTCTAGTTTGTCTGATTTCTTTATGCTTAAATGTTTGTCATTCATCTGCAGAGTTGCAAGTGTACAGGCTATTGTTCTTCTCAGCTGGTGTTAGTGAAGGTAGCAACATTTTTTCAGTTTTGCCTGTAATACTGAGTTTGATAATTGTCTTCAGTGTTTCCCCTTGTTTACGTCAAATGTATCATAGGAACTTTAATTTTTATAGTTTTCTTCATTTATTCAAAATGCTTGGCTCCCAAGAAAAGTGTTAGAAACCAAACAGATATTAAATACTCAATCTTCATTACACTCCATTTTTTTTCCTGGGTCTTATGAAATGTAAAGTGATTTAACACAAAATCTACTTTCTTCCCAAACATTCATCACTTTAAAATCCCACATGTGTATCCCACACAGGTTTCTCAGAGTGTTAACCACATCTCCTTCCTTCTAGGATCGCCCAGCCATGCAGTTATACCAGCCAGGAGCTCGCATTCGAACACATGTGGGATCTACAAGTAAAAGCTATGACTGCAGTGGGAAATCCTTTGAAGATGCTCTTGATAAAAAGTATGAGGCGGATAATTCAGCTGGAGGTGGTTCTGAGAAGAGCGAAGAAGCAGAATAAACTGGAGGAAAGACTTGTGAAAAGGGATGGACTTAAGATTCAGTGTCATCACAAAATATCCATAGGGCTGTTTCAGAACTCCACAGGCGATTGCACCAAAAAAATTGTAATAGGTCTGCCTCTTACTTTCTGTAAAATAAAGGGAAGAGTGACTGGAGATGTATAAAGTATCTTACAGCAAAGGAATATTATTGCTTTTTTACAAAAAGCAACAGTATTTGCCTAATCTAAAAGCAGTTCAATATTTTATTAGATTTACCTTGAAATAGAAAACATCTAATAGTTTTAAACGAGTATTTATATGAGACTTTTCAGGAGCTATTTCACCTTTTCAAGCCTAAAGAAATGAAATGTAGATTTGCATCAGTTTGAAATCTGAGGCACTTTAAATGTATTTGGTGCATGACATGAGGGTCACAGGACCCCTTTCTGCAAATGGCAGTGGCGGGGGCTGCTGCGGGGGGTTGCAGTCAGACTCGGTGGGACCAGCCCCAGGAGGAAGCCCTGGAGCCAGTAGCGTTTGCAGGATGAGGCCCACAGTTTGCACAGTTGTGAGAAATGTCCGTTGGTATCTGTACCTCATTATGTTTACATTGTTTTTCAGTTAACTATAGCATCAGATAAGTGTTAGTGCAGGTATAAGTATGTTGTTAGAGAGTTTGTCATTTTCTGAGCCACTTTTGCCTTTTACGTTTCAATAGATTCTTGTGCTTAAAACAGAAGAAAGCTAACGCAAACCTCAGCACTTAAAACAATATATCTGGTTTTAATAAATTAGTTGTTTTTTATGGTTTTGACACTGACTTTTAAAAAAAAGTGGTTGTACAGTGATGACTTTTTATATGATGCTGTTTCATATAAGTTGCAGTTGCAGGATTTGGAAGATCTATGATACATAAATGTTATGCAGTTCTATTTGTTAAAAAACCAAACATACATGAATGTCAACTGCGAACTACTGTTTTGTAAGATCTAGGCCAAATTCTGCCCTCTGCAGGCACATATGTGTGTGTGTATATATATATCTCTCTCTTCCATTGGTTTCAATGATAGCACCGTGTTTACAGAAGGGCAGGATATGTTCATTTATCTTTCATGGCTGAAAATTTCTCAGTTGTCTGAAATGGAGACCTGCTTTGTCATTGAAGTTAAATAGTAAGATATTAATTTATTTTTACATCCTCTTTGAACATTTTATTATTAAGCATAACATCTAATTGTTCTAGACTGAAAAATTATTTATTGTATTTTCCCTGATATTAAGCATTAAACAGAATAAAAGCAAAAAGATTTTGAGTATGATGTTGAGACATGATCTTCTGCAATTTTCTCATCTATTACTCTAGAAAAATTAAGTAAGATGCTATGCTACTTTGTATTCTTCAGTAGATAAAAATACAGTTGAGAAGAATTTTAATATCAAGCTATCTAAGTGAGCTGCCAACTGAAATTACTTCAAGCTTAAGTAGAACTGCTGTTAAAGAATCATTTGGGTTTAGCTCCCTGTAAAGTTTATCTTGTTTGCCAAGTTTATCCTGACTGCAGAGAAAGGATTTTGTCTTGGTGTCCTGGCCGAGTCAGGCAGCATTAGTGCAGGGCAGGCTTTCTCCTCAGCAAAAGAGCCTGGATGGTTCAAGGAGAAAGAGTCTTTCAAGGGAAGAGTTCTGCAGTAGAGCCAGACAGAGCTGAGGCCATCACCAGATGAGTGAAGCAAGTATTTCCCACCTGTTTGGATGCTCAGGGGAGGCTGGAGGAGGGGTCTCCCCTGTGAGGGACCCGCAGTATACACAGAAGTGGTGACTTTGCACATGCTCACAAACGTGAACTTGATACCTTTTGGCCAATAATGGCTTTCAGGCTACTCCACCACCTTCACCTGAGTGCCTAGGTTCTGAGTACCTCTTGATAGCATTCTAGATCATTAACACAATTTAGCAGTAACTTTCCATCTGGGGTTCCTTACTTTCCATCTCTTCTAGTTATCAGAGCATGGACATCAAACCTTGCCTCAGTAAAAACTGTCAGGGTTTAAGCATCTATGTCTGTCAGGTCAAGCAGCCGTGCCCTCGCTGACTAGGATTCCTGCAGCCCATTCACTTATTTTCGGATTTTTTTGTGACTGCAGCCTCCTCCAGGGAGGGGGATAGAGAGCCTAGCCTTTGGCTTCACATGGAAGGAATATTTAGAACATTTGGATTCGGATGTGTAAAGTGCACTAGTCAGTATTTGCATGCCGGCTGCACCCCAAGCATCCCGAAGAGCCCCCGCTGCCTGGCGGCTTTGGCTCAAGGAACTCTTGGGACAACCTCCCTTTCTTACTTGACTGGTACCAGCATCTATTCTTCCCACGTCTGAGGTAGCCAGAAGGAGGTACTGGCCACCACCAGCAGGAGCTGAGCATTTCTGTAGCCACACAACACCTGCCCCAAGCTGCTCAGGAATGGTGGGAGCAGCAAGGCAGCACCAGGAGGCGACGGTGCAAGGGAGTGCTGCCTGCAGGCTCTCTGCTGACCTGCAATCCCAAGGAGATGAGAAATGACTCCTGCCAGCAGAGAAATGCTGCTGCTGAGCTTCCCCTCTCTGTGCTGGAGGCCATCTTGGGCATGTACCTGTGGGAGTAGGGATTGGGTTTGGGATGGGTGCTTGTACAGACACATCCGTAGGGAAAACCACCCCTCACCTGACTGGGGCTCAGGGGAGCACTGCCTGCTGGAAGCGAGTGTGTACCTTAGGGTAATGTTGCAAAATATGATGGCTAAAGAAGCAGAATACATTTCCAAGTCCATGCCCCAGTCTCTGCGGCAAGGGGATGCAGCAGAGCCTAAGCCTGCTTTCCTCGCCAGGGCATCCAGGCGGGAGGAGCTGCCACCTGCTCCGCACTTGCTTGTTCTGCTCTTCTCCTGATAACACCAAATAAATGCAGGCTCGCAGACCGCCTTTGTGCAAACTCAGCATGGTGCAAGAGCTTTCTTGCCACAATAGTAACTTTGTTTTGCAAATTCAGCTTTGTTGAAAGTAGATACAGCATCCCTGCGGAATGGGAATTGTGTCTGGTTACATCTGACTTTGGTGCCATCTGTTCTCTTTCTTTTAAAATACAATGCTCTACATTTAATAAAAAGCTTCACCAACTTAATAGCTACCCTGAATTTCTGTTGCCCTGGTTTTTGTGGAGTCCTGAGGCCATCGACGCCCAGCAATATGGAAATCACCCTGTCTGTCAAACTGGAATTGGGCTCCATTCTGCTGGGAGCTATTGTGTTACGGGAAACTGATGTGGAACGTAAACATTCAGTAAAAAATTCGTGCCTGTCACAGTTTTAAAGAGAAGCTTATTCAACTCCAAAACATGCTGGTAACTTCATGTTCAATATTTAAACATATTCTGCTGCTTCTTTTCACTTAAAATCAAATAGTTGTAAGTTGTTTTCAGAGTCTTTGGAGGTCGATGGCTCATCTTGCCAGCCGAAGTCAGCCAGCAGGCAGTTTCTCTGCTAGCCTCTATTTGCAGCATTAGTCCTGAATGACCCAAACAAAGGCGTGAAATGTTAACATGACAAAAACCACTGACAATACACAAAATTATACTGAACATCAAAATAAAACACACTTAAAAAGGAAACATTAAACTCATTTAGAACTTCCCCCCGTGACCTGATATAATATAGAATGTTAAAAATCATCAAGAAATGTGACTTGCAAGTTGATGGTGCTGTTTGAGTCTTAAATGATGAGAGGAGAAACCTAAAATTCTTAAGTTATTACTATTTATTTATGACTGTTTCCTTTGAAAGAAAGAATATGTGAAACAAATGAGAAACCTACTGACTCTGATACCAAGTGACTTAAAAGAATTCACTCTTTCTCTGCATCTGCTTGGGCTTTTCATTGAAGTTCTTCCTGAAAACTGAAAATGTCATCTTCTTCTTACGAAGAGCTGGTTTGTCTCTTAACAGTTTAACTGTCCCCCAAACCTCTTCACTGCTGTGTAACTAAAAAAGAAATATTTTCCAGATATAATTTGTGGTTTACACTTCATTAGGCTACATCCCAGTCTCCTGAACATGTGCAATTTGCATATCTCTTCTACAACTGTGTAAGTACTATCAGAGGCTCATTACTGTTACATACATAAATATCAGAGTATTTTGATTCAGACTGACATAAACACAGAGACATTGGACTGTCTCGTTAATTGTTAATGGAGTGTTCTTTGCCCTATTCCAACTAGCAGCCTCGATTAGAAAAAATAAATACTCTCCAAAAGGGTGAAGACTAACTTCAGAGGGGTTTTAGATGCTGGTACAAAAATGTGCAGAAGACAGGTGATATAAAAAGACACATAAGTGGGAAGCTCTTTTTTTTCTCTTTAAAAATATTTCTATATTTTGAAGTCAAATATGAATATTCTGCATAAAACTTGCAGGATCTTTTTTTTTTTAATTTAATCAGGATTTCAATTGCCAGCTCTTGTGAATGGAGAGAAAAGTAACGCTAGAAGAATCCAGCTGGCCAGACAGAGGGTTTAGATTATTCACAGCATGAAGGACCTGTCCTGTTACTACTGATCTGTGCTGCTGTACAGGTCTCTGTGTTGTGCTGCTTTCCATCTCTGGTTACCACAGAAATGCAGACGGCTCTACTGAATGAGACTGAAGCAAAGTTCCACCTCACATTACTTCTTAACAGTGAACTTGAATATGAGCACCGATATCTGACATTACCTGATGGAACTTCTTGCATGTTTTTGACAGCTGTTGAAGGTCATCAGCATCTAGAAACAATAGTATGTGTATAATTATGTTCTTGGACATTTGGATGAGACAGTCATAATGCCCCTGATATAAATTGTGTACTCCAACATGTTGTTGCCAAAGATGTTTCTCACCTACTCTGAGGTACAAGAAAAGAAAAAGAGAAGAATAAACACAAAACAACCCTCATGTAACCTGATTATTTTAAAATGTAATCATGAATACAATAAAACTGGGCTAGAAATATATTAATACTTCGATGTTAGGAGGAAAAAGATGAGACTCAAGAGGAGACAACAGATTGGGCCACTGCTGTATATGTTGATAAGAAAGAGGAAGGACTAGCTGGCAACAGGCTCGATGCTGGCTGTACCTTG